TTTTTCTCTGTACCCCAATATAATAAATCATTCATTTATTTGATCCATACTCACTTTTGAAACAATCAATCAATCAATATTAAATTCTTATCTTATATTAAATTCTTGACATATTCTATGAATATGTACTCTACTATACAGTAATAAATCAATATTTTCAATATTCTATGCTATGCCATGGTAAATTTTCAAAAATATAAACTTACAACATTACAATCATTATAATAAATATAAAAATAAATAAGGATTTTTGTTACATTTAAGTAAAGATATTATATATTAAATAATTACCTTATAATAATTAGTGTGCAAATAATTTTAACATTACAATTTAGCAAATCAAAATTCAGCAATATAAAATATATTTTGAAAATATATTTATCCAGATAACTGACTCTATATTTTGTTACTTAAGTTAAAAGTTTGTTTCGCAATTTATTTGATAGTTAAGCGAAAATCTAAATAAAAATATTTGTTGTCCAATGAAATGGAGTGATCACTCATTTTAGTACACTTTTATTGATGAGATATGTTTCCCTATTGTCAACAATAAATCAATCATTTTATATATTTTAATATACACTACATTTTTTATCCAAAAACTGCTTGGATGAAATATTTATCACTTGTCTTATTATGATCTGTGAAATAGATTTTTATATTTTTGTCCTGTTTCCATCAAAACATAATTTTCTAATAAAAGTCTAGACATTATGGACATAACTCACATGAGTATTGATTATGTTTGTAGAAAGTAAATGGGAAAGTGTGTAGAAATAGATTTTTATATTTTTGTCCTGTTTCCATCAAAACATAATTTTCTAATAAAAGTCTAGACATTATGGACATAACTCACATGAGTATTGATTATGTTTGTAGAAAGTAAATGGGAAAGTGTGTATGTTATGGATTTCCATTAGCTTTTAATAAAAAATATCAATTTTTATTTATATATTAGGATTTGTAGTAGCATTATGTAGCTGCTAATAAATGCTATAAATGCATACTATTTTGTAATTCATTGCTTATTTATAAGTATTTTTTAAAATTAATTTTTCATACAAATATAATTTTTATTTCATTTATAATGTGACAAATATTTGATGGTTTATAAAATAAAAATAAATTTAATTATAAATATATAAAACAGTTCCGATATGAACAATATGAGGGATATTGTACACCCAATAAGGTATACGTAATAAAAATATTTAAATTGCATAATACATAGTGAATGTAACTCATTGGGAGTTGTCGTGTAATAATCCATGTCTTTGCCGAACACATTGATGTAAAACTTTCGCCTCCAGTAGTCTATGAGACCGGCTTTTAATATCAGAAAAATACTATTCAAACAAATTAATTAATTAATGTAAAAGTATGGTCAACTAAAACAACATTTTTATATACAATTTATTGAACTCATGTTTGTATGGGAAGTCATTGGGCATAGGAATGGCCACATAATTGAGTGTGAATATGGAGTCCACGGTATTATCGGGAATATAATAGCCACGAATACCGTACCGATGCAATGAATACGCCAATACCTCCTTGGTCAGTATGAATGCCAATGGTTTTGCCGATTTCTTTAATAACGAAATAGCATTTATAAAGCTGTCGACCGATTGCATGGAGTGACCGATCTCTTGGGTGACACCCGTTCGCGACTCCTGTCGTCAAATAAATATTGCAAAACATATCACAAAATTGTCGTTTACTTTGTTTGAATCAATGTTTGCAATACTTTAATCATATTATAGTAAATGCCACCAATGATACCAAAAACCGTGATTTTGCCCTCTTTTTGAGCCCCATTTAAGTCATGTAATGTGTGTATGCGTCCCAACTCGACGGGACGGGTGATGTCCGCGTAAAACGCTCCGCCATAACTGGCCGTCAATACAATACAGACCAACATCCAGGCGCACAGCCATACCCTTAGGCTACGCGCTAATGTGTGCGTTTGCCTGAACAAAATTGATATAATAATCCAACTTGTTAAATATTTATTACGTATAGACATATTAATGCAAATAATTAAAATAATAATATTGAGAAGTAGATAGATCCAGATGAATCTGTCAAAGGGCTCGAATAGGTTGACCATATTTTCACGAATAGTAGGCATCGGGTGTGTGAATGTGACCACATCTATGACATATGGGTACGAATAGGAGACTACCTGAGCCCTCTCCTCAGTGATGTAAATGTTGAAAAAACCAAAATCTGCTTTCTATAAGATATTTTTATTAAGTTATATAAAATTATTTTCATATTTAATACAATTCTTAACCTTCTCAACAATTTGACCAAAGAGTCCAGTCCATGTTTTATTTGGTAATTGGATACCAAAGTCAAACTTGCAATTAATAAGTTGATAGGTGAAGTTCATGTAATCACTTAATGTACGCAAAATTGGTGTTTCTGTGCCAACTATTTGGTCATCACTTTTGTACACAAATGGTGGTAACTATTAGACAAAGAAACATTTACTACTAAACAAGACTAAACATTTATACTAGGTATATTTGTTAAGACATAATTTAAATAAATATATAAACAAATTATTTTGAGTATTACAAAATTGGTAACGATTTTAAATTGTTTGCCATTTAAGTCAATCATATCGTGTGCACTATTATTTGCACAATTATTTGTGCATACAGTACATAAATGTATGCAACATAAATTATTTGTTCATGTTAAAATAGACAAACTATTTTTAATTGAAATTAACTTTGTCAATATTAAATTATTATTCAAAATATTATGCTTCATTATGTTGTTGTTTACAACGAGTTGGTGATATTTATGAATATGTTTATTATTAAATAAATAATTAACAACCAAATTGTTTCTAAGGCGTAACAAATTAAGGCATTTTTGTAAACTTGCTAAATTGATTTTTGGTTCAACAGTACTGGAAAAGTGTGTCTAAATGTTAATTAAGTAATATAATAATTAACACTAAATATAACTACTGATCAATATTTCGACCATGAATTTATTTTCATATAATTGTAATAATATTTACATGAAAATCACTTTCTAGTAATTACTATTATTTTATTACAAAGTAACATTTTAATAAAAACAAGTTATTTATTTATAAAATAGTTTTAACTAGTTGTATACAGTATTCATTGCAGTGCATTTAAGCAATGTAAAATTATGCCGACTTATTTAAAGTAGTAGAGTCAATTAACTTTAAAGTTGTTTTCATAAACTTTTAAAGTTTATGAATTTGATTTATAGTTTAAATCAGTAATCAAGTCACCATTCTTATAAATGATTAACACATGTTTCATAATGAAATGTTTTAATGAATTGAAAATTTTTATGGCTTTAAACAAATATAATATAAGTAAATAACAGTTTGAATGTAAATTTGATTCATTATATCAATACTAATCGTCGGATGAGTTATCTTCGCTCTCACGAAGACTAAAATGTGAGCCAATCGTCGACTTATCGAAACCCCAGGCGACGGCCGATGCGCCCACTCCCAGGCCTCCCAATCCCGCGTACTTTATGGCAGTTCCCGTTTTGGCGATTCCGGCTCCGGT